AAATAATGTTATTTGAATCACACTTCAGGCTGTACCTCACCTCGGGCCCACTTGAGTACATCATCAGTACTCCGTCTAGCCATCGAGTCCATCATGGCAGAAATCCATACTGTATCGACAGGAATTATGGAGCAGTTTTCAGTATATGGGACAGGTGCAGTTGATATGCTGGTGTGAGATTATGTTCATCCTTCAAGTGAAAAAAGTCAACAGGTATTCACTGAATTCCCCACTCTGCAACACTTCCAACAAACCATTTCTGAAAAGACCAAAGCAATTTCTAAGCGCTTCGGCACCTGATAACTATAGGGTGCTCACAAGGGTTTTGGAAGACGGACTCAGAATTGATTAGTGCAGGTTTGGAAGCTCGAAATCCTCTATGGCCCGTCCCATTCTGAAAATTGGCGATTCCCTGCAGGACCTAATATCTTGGGATGAATTGGTAAAAGCGCGTAAAAAATAGCAGTGAGCGCCACCAAGTTCTCCAAAATCTCCCAGAACTAAAAGCAGACCTCTAATGGCACCTTTCGCGTATGGATGCGGACTTGCTCTTACTCCGCGAGCAATTAGCTTGGTCTGGACTTCTAGCGGTTGCACCACATTCTCTTCGCGGCGCAAAAGTCAGTGAGCAGAGCACCCGTGCCGCCGTTCTTCTCATTGGTCTTAATCACTTTTACGCTCACCGCTCTAGCCAGCCTTAATAACAGAAGACCCACCAACGAGCGCCAGGGACATTGCTAATAAAAAATCAGCTGGGATCAGCTGCGGTGATCGTATCGGCCACAACACCACCGTGCCGTAGTCTCGACCGATCACATTCTTTATTCGCCTTCCGTTTGCGAAAGTGTGCTCGCTAGAAAATTTATTTGGGACACCGGCAAAACTAATTTCTGTTTTTCTCCACCACTGACGCTCCTGATATGTCGGCATCCCGACTTGTACCCCACTACCCAGAACATCTGATCGAGGGTTTTGCCTTCAAGAAGCAATGGTTTCACCGTTTTGCCGGCGACGCTGCAAAGAAGTACTGCTAGGTGCTGGTCTAGTAGTAGAACGTACCACGTTGTGACTACTAAAAATCTCCTAGTCGTCAAAAGCGGAGCAAAAGATCGACGGCAAAAACGGGAGCGACATCTTCTGCCCCAGCAGTCTAACCGTTCCGCTTGGTTTATTTGAGGCAACTGTATTCAGCTGGTTTTAAACTAAACTTCTTTTAGTGAATTATTATAATAAAAAACAAGGAGTATTCCGGGCGTACTCGTAATACATGTTGCCTGAAAAAAGGCAGGAGTATTGCCATTTTCAGACTTTTCGGCACCTATGAACCAGAACGGAAGGACGAAGAGATCGCTTACGGATTGGTCAAACCCGTGGCGTCGTTCAACCAGCTTCTGGTGTCAAGTTCGAATAAACTTGATCAGTTTTTCGTGGAGAAACGAAACTTCAGAAAGAATGAAATTTAAAAAAAACGTTTCAGTATATGCGATCAGACTTTCGTTTCCGACTAAAGTCAGATGAAAAAACGAGAAAGAATGAAGGAGTTGTTTCGAGTTTGGGGGACAAAGTGGAGATTGTTCGATTTTTCTCTGGAAGCGGACATGAGCCGCTTCAATTCTAAAAAGTTCCGACTTCTAGGTGAAAGCCGCTCTATGGCCGCCAGCCTACTTTCCCGGAACGCGAACAAAGCCCTTCTTCCTGTGGTTATCGATGGAGGATCACACTGAGGGAACCTAGTGACTTTTCAGCAAATGTATTAATGAGTCAGTGTGATGTGGTGCTGGTTGCTTGTAAATACTCAACTACTGATAATGGTTGTATTAGCCTGACACTTCAAATTTTCCATGATTGCACAACTGGCTTTGCAGGTCGAGCGCCCTCTTACTATCCGCTACAATCCTCCACTGGCACGAGCCCTTCGCTACTATTTGTTAGCACAATGGGTGCTGCTTATGTCTTGTTTTTTGCAATTCGACAAGCTCCGTTTGTTGCTCAGTTGGCCTGAGTTTCTTTGCCGACTCGGCTTCATATTTGCCTACATACAAATGTTTGGATACTACTTCGATCACAGGTTTGTTCTCGACCATAACGCACAAAAAGGAGGGCGCGTCTCAGAGCACAACTACTTTGAATGATCATGATAAGAACATTTCAGTCGTTTTTCACTGATCTTTGACTCAACACGACTGACGCTGTCTATATTGCTTGGATTGCTCTTGAGTGACTTCTCGATGATCGTCTACGGTTTTGCATCGCTTGCGATTCTCTCCGTGGCTCGCATCAGACAGAAAGGGATGTTTATCGTGCGGTACTACAGGGAAAAAATGTTTTGCTTGAGATACATGGAGCGTTTCCATTGTTAATATCTCGTTAGAGATTCGAAAACTGAGTGTATGTGCTCACTATCAACGCAATTGCTGAAAATGATTGAAAAGTTGAGATGGTGCTTGTTCCTTTAAAACTAATAAAATTGCTGCAAAACTGTGTAAAATGTTCAAATCTGTTGTGGATTGATCCAAGGCGAACTTGAACCGGACCAGGAACACCTTACGCCTTGATTCAAGACATTGCTCACGAGTTGGTTCTTGTGATAACTTTCGGAGCGCCAACTGCAGTTATCGTGATAGAACTACTGTTATAGAACGCTCAAGGGAATCATAGAGAACTTCTGCTCCAGTGCTCCCTCCTTGGCGAGATATTGCTGTTTTGGGACAATTGTCATCACGTGTCTGTTCGAAACAGGATGGCAATCGTTTGCCAAATTATTGCTTGCGCCTTTCAGCAATAATCTGTAGCTTCACACTCTGTTTGCAGGCGCAGCTCGGCAGCGGGGAGGGGCATTTTACACTTTCACTGGTCCCAATTCCAATGAATCTCTTACTCTGGTGAAACCTGTGAACTCTTGTGAAGCTGGAGCAAGCTCGTCAAGCCATCATGGTAAAACCTGTCAACTCAAGAAAAGGCTGTCTAGATGGGTCGACACGTCGATGGGAAGTAGCAAAGTGCAAATCCTGCCCCTCTCCCCCCTCCCGCCCGTCGCCGAACTGCACCCATGTTTGCCTATCAAGAAGGGCGACACAAACCAAATTAAAGGCAAATAATTTGAGGCACCACAAGCGCGATTTTGTGGATATAACGCCAATCTGAGTTGTACAAGAGACCCTATGAAGGTCACCCAGCATCAGGTGCCGACGTATGTTGAAGATTCCTCAGCGGGGGGAGGGGGAGGTCGTTTTCGGCCGCTGGAGAGAGAAGGTCGTGTACGCCTTGGGGGCATGTGTTTGCGGTTGTTGAATCTTCAGAAATTATTCTGCTTTACGTTCTCCACATTTTGTACCCTCCTCTGAGAGAAACGAGATTTTTGAAAAAAAAAACTCGGGAAAACTGGTAGGTTGAGAATTTAGGAAGATGGTAGAAAGGATGGGGATAAGGGTCGTACTAGAGGAGGAACTTTTGAGAGGGGTCGTAGTCTGTAAAACTTTTCTCCAACGGCCGGTCATGTCCTGACCTGCATCCACTCAAGGGTGTGTCGGCGTAGTACATAGTCATAACCACGTACTGAAGGCGCGTAGATCCACAGCGACGGAGAGTAATGCTTGTATTGGTTGTAGGACCCTCATTAGGGGGGGGTTGTATCTGCTATTCGAACGTTTGTTTGAGAGGGGAGTCATATTGGCCTGGCAAGCATTTTTTCGGATCATATGTTCCGTTCCTTTTTTTTAAAAAAGGACTCCGCCACTGAAGGTGACAAACGGTGAAGACGGAGATGTTCTGTTCTTTTTTATTTGCACTATTAGGCGAGCCATGAGCACCTAATCAGCAAAGATTAGGGAGGAGGTTCGATAATTGATTAGTTGAGGTGACCTCCCCTTCAGCACAACGTATCGGCTGAGGACGATAAAACAACCTTTTAAGGAAGAAAAAACTTGGGATGAATTAAAGACACAGGCCCACGGTTAATGGAACAGGTCTGAAAAATTCACGAAGGTTAGGTCTCTGGCTGAAAACATTCCCATAATGAGGATCGGCATAAAGCGAAGATTGGAGACCCCATCTCTGCCATTTCAATATGACATGAAAATTGGGACAGTACACAGCTAGTTGTAATAGGAAGGTCTTAAGCCAATTACTGACTTGTTTAAGACGTAAAACTACTAGATTTTGTACGAGACAAACCTCAGAAGTTCCTGCGCTGCACTGAAGAACAAACGAAAAAAGAAAAGTACGCTCAGCTCGCCCTTCACAGACATACAGGGGGGGGCCAAAAAAAGACATTTCGACCGAGTCACATATCAGCAAAGTTTTCGCAGCCCAGACAGAGACGTGGATACGAGTACCAGGGCGGAAGATACCCAAGATGTTCCTCTATAAGCAGGAGCTGGCGCTCGCCCATCACCTTCATGTACACCAAAATATGAAGTCATCTCCAGTCGCAACCTGACTGGTGAAGACCTTCGGAATTCACGTCACCTCTAAACAGCTGTGAAACTTCTTGAATTAAGTCACCCATAGGGAGGCTGACTGGAGACAAGTACTCTTATCTGCAAGACCCCAGCGTCGAGCCAGCTTCGACAATTGGAATCCCGTCCCTACTTTCCTGTTATAGGACATCATCTTCACCACAAGTCTCCAAGCGCGGCGGTACGTTTGTTTGGTATGACCCGAAAGTACTTGAATGGAAAGACCGATATTTTCTTCGTGGACCCCGGACTGAAGGTGAGCGCTGGCGGTTACATCGAGCAACTCGAGAAGAATATCCTCCCCACATGTCGCCCGTACCTTCTTGGAAACTTTGTACTGCTACAGCATTGGGTGCCACCACATGGAATCGAAGGGCGTTGGAAGAAACTCTCGCCTACTCGGAATGGAAGGCGTTGAGTACCTGGTAAAGGTGGAATATCTAAGCAGGTCACCTGAGCTAAACCCCTCAATTACCCGGTTCGGGCGGAGTTCAATAGGGTGGTCTACGGTGGCGGAGAAATCGACTATCTCGCTGATCTCAGGCACCACATCGCGGTCGCGTGCCAGAATCTCTCGATGGCGCTCGTCCAGAAGGCTGTGGCGGAGTATCATGATAGTATTTGATATGCTCTTTAATATGGTGGTGGAAATGTCCGATAAAAATTTAAATGAGGTAACTTATAGCGCCTCGAAAGTCAAGGAGGAAAAATGTCTTTTTTTTGGCCCCCCTGTATAACGCCTTATCGTACACCATTGTGCCATGACTTTGCTTGGTTAGTTGCAAGGAAGCACCTCACAGGGTTCGCAGACAATTCGTGTATGGTACTGTTCTCTGCGAATGCTGAATCGGGGCGGAAGGGCTGGGTTTGGTGTCGCAGTACCCGGCTTTTTACCATTTACTGTCGCCTACTCGCCCCATCAATGATGCAATGTGGCGCCATCGCTGGGCAGCTGAATATCGGAGAGACTTAGATTCCATGCGCTTGGTAGAGGCCAAGGGAGCTGAGCGATCATGGCTTCTCGTTTGCACCCTCTCCAAGAAAACAAAGCATGTTCTGGAACTGTTCAGTCAACCTCAGAACATGTCACTCTCTTACTACACACTCTTATACTCATGTGCCATGAAATTTATTAATTGTACCACTACGTTTCTATCACTCTAATGGACACAGTAAGCTTTTCAAGTGGCAATGATAATCGAGTGGACAAAGTACAAAAAAATTAGTTTCTTGCACTCTGCAACATTTACTGAGCAAAGATGAATGTAAATTGGAGACCCGATCGCGCCCATGTCAGTGCTTCACAGGCTGCCAAGGCCTCTAAGACAACACTGCTTTCTGCGGACTTTTCCATGGGGACATTTTCAATTTCTACTGCTCCACACTTGCTCTGTTTTTTAAGCGCTGTATCGGCAAATGTTTTTTGCAAGCAAAGCTCGGTGACGTCCTTCCAAGAATGATTTCAACAGTTCTTGGGAATTTCTTCGCAAAAAATTTTCTGCTTCACAAATATTTGTCCATCCTATGGAAGTGTTACAATTCGCGAATGGATATCGGGCTATGAGGACACATTAGATTGGCGCTTTGTCAGATGCGCTTCTCAAGTCCTGCTCATTAAATTCCGTGTTGCTCTCATTTATCAAAAGGAGCAAGTTAAAACTGGGGCCGATTAGAAGAGGACAAGTACCGTTTGAACTGATCGACCTCCAGCAGTACTAGCCTCGACGCGCAAAATCTAGATGAGTATGGTGCCATCTGTTCAAGTTAGACAAACAAGCGGTGAGGCAAGCTCTTAGACTAGCGGGATGCACAGCCGCCTCGCCTTGGTTGCGTGAAAGTCCAGCATACCTAATACCATATCAGCAAAATTCCTTTTTCTCCTCCGGCAGGACCTACATTTACTTGAAATCCTCGAGATGTGGTAGGCGTGGCTGCGCACTTCAACGCACGAGTAAACTATTCTACGCCTTATCCAGATGCCACGCCCAATCCGTCTCAGGGATGAAGGGTGTACCTACTCTCTTACAAAACTTTTCCAACATTTTGCTGTCGAGCGGCGTAGATTTGAGCCTACAGGATAGATTATGAGCTTACAGGATCACCGTACTAACGGGTAAACATGCAGCACTGACGCACATCTTCACAGCATTGCATACAAATACGTCTGTAGAGGTAGAGGTTGTGAGAGAGCTCTGTGTAGACCTACCCCAATCCAATGGTATTTGTTGTCGAAGCGAAAATAAATTGCACGAGTACTAGAAAGGTTTTGTGGCTGAA